TTGGTGGAGGTTGCTAAGGAGCAGCCACCTGGAAACTACTGAGGAGACAGAGCTCCGATGGAAGAAGGCAGAAATCCAGGGAGGGCATTTCTCTCCTGTGAATATCATAGAGCTCAGACCTGCCTGGGACCTAGAATAGGACATGGTTTTGTGGGTTTAAAGCATTTTTTTCCTTTTGAAAATTGACTTGCTTTACTTTTGAGTTGTCTTATGTTCGTTTTAGTATGGTAAATTAGGTAATACATGTTCCTTTTCACTTTATCAAGACATTTACTGCTGTAGTCACTCTTTCAGGGCCCACTCTTTCCCCAGCTCCTCCATTTGAACAGTTGTACTGAAATCAGCCAAGCCTAATTCAGCAGTTTTTTTTTTGTTTTTTGTTTTTTTTTAGTGCTCACTGTGTTCCAGGAACTACTAGGTCTTGGGGATGCAGCTGTGAAGGGATGGGCAAGTTGGCAAAGATGAAAGTGATCAACTCTCATCACTTAAGATGTGGTGTGGTGCTTAAGAAAAGCTTCTGGGAAAAAGTCATCTCTCGGCTGAGGTTGGACGGGTGTCTCTGAGTTCTGTGGATTGTGAGGGGGCAGAGGGAGAAGCATGTGTCAAATGTAGACTTGAAGTGGTCTGGGCATTTAGGAAATTATTGTCAGCTTACTGTTGGTGGAGTGTCAAGTGTGTGTGGATACTGGGGACGTGGGGGTGGCCGAGGAAGCCAGAGACCTGGTCATGGAAGGTCACGCGTGTCTGCTTTGAACTGTATTGTGGCCTGGAGAACTTTCTGTTTGAGAGAATGACGTAGGGTTGCACCTGAGACAGGAATCCTGGCCAGTGCCTGTTAGTCCTGTAAAGCTAGACAGGAAGCTTTATCACTTCACCGGTTTGTTAGGAGGATGACAAAATGACAGCATAGGATGTGTGGCCCATGGTGGGCACTCAAGCAGAAGGCTCTTGTTTCTTCTCCTTGGCTGCCTCCTCTCTCCTGTTAGAGGAGTTGGGGGCAGGCCTTTTGTCCCTTGCTTCTAGAGCCCAATCCTGCATTTGTGGAAAGCACAGGGCCTCTGACATCGGTTTCCTTCACCTGACAAGGCCTGCTGTCTAAAGCAGTGGCCCCTGTGCCTGGTCCACTGCCCCTTGGCTTTTCTGTTTGTTTATTCCTTGATGGGAAACCAGGCCGTTCTGATTAATTGTCTAAGGTGGCCTTACTTATGGAGTTAAAAAATGAGAGGATTTTTTCCTTCAGAGGGATTTTTGCCTTGGTTTTGGGTATGAGAATAAGAGGTTAGTAGGTTTGATGCTGAAATAATTAGAATGTCTACAGACGTTATAATGGTTTATAGGAAAAATGGGATAAAATATTTAAGCATTTTGTGAGTCAGATAGCTGTCTTATTAACATGAAATTTGTCTTGATGGTTTATCGTATATAGTTTTAAGTAGCGTTGAAATAAAATCTAGGAAACTTGAATGAAATTATATTTAAAAAGACAAGTCTCACTGAGCTTACCATCTTTTTTCTTTTCAATGGCCAGCTCCTTGTTCCTTCCCCTGGATGCATTGCCTTAAAATTATGTGAGGATTTGCATGTTGTTCTCGTGCCATTTTGGGTGATTGCAATCATATTTGAAATTCTGTCTTCTTTCTTCTGCATAGCAGACACACATTCAGAGTTTCCTAGAAACCTGTTGACCAAGTCAGTACACTACATTTCCTAGCACTTCTGTGTATTTCTGAGAAGGGGGCGCCAAAGTCTTCCTTTCCTAAAATGCTAGGAGCATGAGCTAATTTGCAAGTGATTTAGAAATTGTTTTTAGTGTTGAATTTCCCTTTCTTTTCAGATATATTTAGAGTCTGCTTATCTTTGATCTCAGAGGAAACAGCATCAGGCAGTTTATCAAGCTCTTGTTTTCCTGAAAACTTCTCAACTCTGTGCACATGTGTGTGTCACCTGCTTGTGTGCATGTAAGTTGGTGTGTGTGTGTGTTGGGGAGTGTGATATAAATGGAGAAGAGAAGTACAACGTAATAAGGATCCCTGTGTCCCCTCTGCTTTTTTTTTTTTTAATAGTTTTATTTTTGTGTACAGATTTGCTGAACAATCACTCAATTTACATGTGTTCCCCATCCTGAACCCCCCTCCCCCCTCCCTCCCCATCCCATCCCTCTGGGTCATCCCAGTGCACCAGCCCCGAGCACTTGTCTCATGCATCCAACCTGGACTGGCGATCTATTTCACACTTGATAATATACATGTTTCAGTGCTGTTCTCTCATATCATCCCACCCTCGCCTTCTCCCATAGAGTCCAAAAGTCTGTTCTATACATCTGTGTCTCTTTTTCTGTCTTGCATGTAGGGTTATCGTTAACCATCTTTCTAAATTCCATATATATGCATTAGTATACTGTATTGGTGTTTTTCTTTCTGGCTTGCTTCACTCTGTATAATGGGCTCCAGTTTCATCCACCTCATTAGAACTGATTCAAATGAATTCTTTTTTAAAAAATATGGAACGCGTCACGAATTTGCATGTCATCCCTGCGCAGGGGCCATGCTAATCTCTGTATCGTTCCAATTTTAGTACATGTGCTGCCGAAGCGAGCACCCTGTGTCCCTTCTGTGTTTACCTCTCTCACACCTTCCAGCTCTAAAAATTAGGGTCTCTGATAGTGTGAGAAGCATCAACTACCTTGATAGACATTTTCTTTTCTATGAGTTTAGATTTAGTATGTACTTCTACTTAGAGAAATTTTGTCTTCAGTGCTGTTTCTCAAGGAAAAAAAAAAAAGCTTTCGATAAAGGAAGAATTACTATATTGGGAGGGAAATATTTTTCATGTCTTAAAATTTTAGATGAAGCTAAGCAGAAGGAAATATATGTGCTCAGGAAAAGTAAGAGTAAAATTAATTTACTGTGAAACTGTCAAAGAGAGGGTGGCCCAGGAGAAAATACAGAGCCTGTAGCCTTTAGGGAAAGATGCCTTCAAGGTAAGTTGAGTTTTTCCTTTTATAGTAATTGAATACAGTTTTCCAAAAATGTGTTAGCTCTTAGTAAATAGCCATCTTTCCCCTGTCTTTTTCCAACATGTATTTCTGGCCTCTGGTGTGTGTGTGTATCCTTGGGCTCTTTGCAGAGATATTCTTGGACCAGGCTGGGAAAGAAGTATTTTTTTTCCCTGTGGTTTCCTTATTTGCAGTTTTCTCGTTTCTTCGTGATAGTTGTCCTTTGTTTTCCACACAAAACCAGCTTGTTTTTTACTGTGGAGTTCGAGATTGGTTCTCACTCATGCCTTAAAACAGAAGCTTAGCTTACTTTTCCCCCTTGATCCTTGAAACTCAGAGTAAATGTGTACGTTTTAAAGCACTGGTGGACTTTGTTTCCAGGTTTTCCAGGACACATATACTATGAAATTCCAAGACTTGATTTTGGTAAATTTGTGTAGATATATCTAGTTTTATTTGAGCACATTAGTTTTATATCTAATTCCTGTTTCCTTTCCAAAGGGCTTTTAATATCTCTTTAGGTTCCTTTTTTTTTTCCTTCTCTTTTGAGGAGAAAAAAATTGTGAGAGGGAAAATGGGGTTGCCTTTTGCTCCCAAAGCCTAAATGAATAGTCATTGCCTGTAATGCCGTCTATACTCGTCGCTTCCCACTGCTTCAGATGTGATGTATCCGGTGCTGTGAAGGTAATGATCCTCAACCGCAGCAATATTCCCTAACAGGAGCATCTGTCATATTCATCGGGATTACCATGTTCATTGATTTGTGTCTGTAAATCTGCTGTTTCTACCCTTTAAATTTGATCTATAATTGGACCTCCTTAAATGGTTCAGATAAGCTAGTCTGTATTTTCTCAATGCAGCGATGCTGTCAGCTTCTCCTTTTTCATTATACATTCAGCAGACTTGATAAAATCAGCAGGACACCTCATTTGAAACTGTTTAATCGCTGCCTTTTTCCTTTGCTAAACCATTGAGGTGGTCAAGCGGTGTACACAAATCATTTTAAATAGAAAATATGGTTTTCTCTGTGACCCAGCTAAATAGATAGTGTTATGCAAAACAAGTTAAAAAGTAATAAATGCCAAAAAAATCTTCTAATTGGAGTAAAAAATTGTGGGCAACTCTAGCCTCTCTCCAAAAGTAGAGTATCCTGAAATATTGCCAGAACCCTGTAAAGACAAGATGATGGTTTTCTAAAGATTCTCTGGTTTCTGAACAAAGCAAGTTTAAATTTTCCAGTGGTGCTGAGCTGCCTTTTGCATCCCTTCAAAGGGAGCCCATCCTTATTTGTAATGCCTTTACATCCTGCTTTTGTAGGGAGAAATTTGCTATCTGTTAATATCTATGCAGCATAACCTTTCAGCCATTTGCTATTGTGATAATAAATTTTTGTTTCTTTGTCGTTTTGTCTACTCAGCTGTTACTCTTCAAAGTACAAACTAAAAATAATAGCTCTAAATAAATGCCACATAATAAAGTGTTTTACAGATGTAGCTGGAATAACCTGGTGGCTGCAACGTGCAGTCCTATTACCATTGCTGGTGCTGTAGTTTCTTCCCCGTGTGTCAGGGTGACTCTACCAGGGCCAGCTCATTAAAACAATCTCTTCTTTCTAACTGGCTTGGTCTTTAGCACTATACCCAGAAGCCTGCCAAGGCACAGTTGTGGAGCACAAGAGTCGCAGCACAGGATATATGAAATTAAGTGGCATTCACTTTTTTGAACAAATACAACTTTGCTGTGAATAATTTACAGTACTCCTGTGAGTAGGTTAGAAGTGGGGCCAGTTGGAGGTTTACCTGAGATAGTGGTAAGTGAGACCCCAGGCTTTTGAAGAGCAGTGTTTGTCTGATTTTTGTGGCCCTGTCATATTAATGTTTATACTGTGCTTGAACATGACATTGGGTATGTTTTGCCATTTTCGCTGCCCCACAGTAAACTTGAGATGGAGAAGCTGAGAGTTGGTAAATATGCTAAATAAACATGCATCTTTTCCTTCCTATAGGTTCTGGCTCCTTGGCAGCGATGGCTGTGTTTGAAGATAAATTTAGGCCAGACATGGAGGTATGTAAGTCCCTACAGTTCTGTTCTCTTTCAGATGATCTTTCTTGTATGTTGGACATTTATGAATTGATCACTGATTCCTCCAAAGTTTGAACAGCACTGCTGCTGTTAGTTGGAATGCTCTTTGTCACAGGTACTGTGTTTGCTAAGAAAACTGGTTACTCGGGAAAGCCTCACTTTGGAGTGGCCCCTCAGGCTCAGGGAGGCTGCACTTTTGAGTTTTTTCTGCTGGCCTTTGGGCTGTCTGGGCATTTTCTTGATTGTAAATGTGTGGCGATGTAGGATGTTTTCTTATGCACTCTCACAATGTCTCAAAACAGGTTTTCTCACTAAGAATAGAGTAACTGTGTATGTCTGTACATCCTGTTGCACACACCTGCCCTGGAAATGAGGACAGTTTGAAAAACCTCTTAGAGTGTTCTGCATCTGGCAGAGGATGGGGACAGTACCCTCTATGTAGGGTCTATTCTCAGAGCATGATGTGTCTCCTGTCTCACATATAAAGAGATCCTTTTATTTTCTTGGGTGATGGGGAGGGTGGTATCTTCTGAATGACATTCCACCTGTGCCTGCTTTAATGGCAGATGTACCCCCCACTCAGCAGCGCCCCCAGATCTCCAGGAACAAGCCACCCGTCTTTCACTGTCAGTTTTGAGGGAGTGTTCCATGTGTTTGGATACTTTGTGGTTCCACATTACTCCTCTGCAGTGCTTTATCCTCGCTGCTTAACCAGCTCGCAGCCGCATTACATTCTGAAGGCAGCCCTCATTATCTGCCCTTGGTTTTTTGATAGCTGTTAAATTTTTTCATGGAGAGTATCAACTTGTTTTCAACGATTATTAGGCTATTTTATGAGTGGTTTACATTGTTCCTTAATGTGTAGGTTTCTGCTGTTCCTGCTTTTGCAGTAGTGTTTTTTCTAGACACCAGAGGGTGTTCCTGGGAATTACTTTTGACACTGCTTTTTGCCGAATCATCTTTGGAGAAGGTTGCATGTTTAAAACTCCTGTCCTTCTCTGGCTCACTGGCATCAGTGTCGAGTGTCCTTGGTCCCTCATTTCAGGTTTGGGCCATGTGCCAGGAGAGCGGAGGATGTAGGGCCGTGGATGCTGACCAGCCAGGACAGGGTCACCTGCCAGAAGCCTTTAACCACACCCTTGGTGTGTTGAGGAGAGCACACATAAGTGACGTGGTCACTCATGGCTGGTTTTCTTTCCTTCCTTGGATATCTGCAGGAATTAAAGCATGTGATTAAAGATAGAATTCAGCTAGGTATTTTGTTCTAGAAACAATAGTCTTGCTCCAATTAAGAATAGTAAACAGTTCCAGGTATCAACTCTAAATGAGATTAGAATTCCTTTCTCATTTCTCAGTGTGAACCTTTATTCCCATATCAGCATTATTTTCTGTTTGGGGTTCTTAAGTACAGAGGAAAAATAAGGTATACTCAGTCACTTAAAAAGAAAAAATGATCTCCTAAGCTTCAAACTAAAGGAGAGGAATTCCTGTGTCTCCACAAATCCGTTAGAATTAGCACAGGTACAGGGAGAAAGGCTCTGATGATTTTCGTTTAGAAAGTCACCTCAGTAATGTCAGGCCCTCCTTTAAACCACATTCATCTTTTCAAATGTTCTTGAAAGCTGTGTCTTTTTCCAATTGATTGGGACTTCCATATGTTAAAGAAAAATGAGAATTGCAGAAAAAGTTGAAAGCATGAAGTATATTAAAAGTGACTTTAACACTCTGCTAAAGTAATTTTATATCATTTATTTAGAGTTTGGAGTTGAAGTGATTCAAAGGCCATAAATATAATATTTCTGTGAAGGGAAATGTGAATCATCCCTTCAGTAAAATTTCTGATATTATCAATCTGAAGAGTGTTTCTTAGATCAATTTTATCTGTAGTTCAGACCACTTCTGTATTAGCTGTGACACTTTGAAACAGGTTGACCAAGTTCCCATTTCATATTGTTAATTAAATTTACTATTTAAAGTGAGTGGTTTTTACTCCCTGAAGTTGTTGGGACTTGACACAGACCGACAGCCAACAAAAAACACTTTTCTTAAGGAGAAGGTAGTAATACTTGCTTCTCCACTGAAGTGAGTTTAAAAGTAAATAGAAGGCAGAGACAATAATGTACTTTACAAATATAAAAGGATGTTAATAGAAACTGAAATTATTGTGAAGACCAAGCAACTAACTGGTCACTCTGCTTTCTTTTGGTGAAGATTAGGTGATGTGGTTTCAGCGGAAGCTGAGACTGTTTACAGAGGTCGAGAAGACCCTGTTTTAGTGACTCTGTTGTGAAGGAGAGCTCGGCCAGGGTGTCATTCCTGGCTCTGTTTTGCATAGAACTCGTGGAAACGTTTGGTTTCAAATTTCCAAACTTTTTATTTTCCTTCTTTCCAGGGAGGCTTGCTTTCTGTGGCAAGAAGCCCTCCATAACTTTTCTTTCTTGCCTATTTTGAGACTGCAGGATTAGATGACTAAGTCTGCTTATTTCCCTTCAGTAGGGGAAAGGATTCTGGATGTGTCTCAAACAGAAACCCAGGAGAGTGTTTCTGCCTCTCAAGTCTTGCATGGATTGCCAGGACAGTAACTGCTGCTCACTTCACAGAGAATTGCATTGGGAGGGGTCAGTTTTAGGCTATCATAATTACCAGTTGTTTGCCAAACAGTGATTTTTAGGCTAAACTCATGAAACAAACTCTTGGCTTTATTGTTAAAACAAATTAGAAAAAGCCAATAGTCTTTTTTTTTTTTTTAAATTTAGACTACAGACCTGTGCCTTAGACAGTGCTGGGTCTCAACTATAGTATTTATGGACTGGAAGTTCCTCTTTCCTTGAAAACTTTTAATATTTTCTCATTGTCTTCAGCTGCACGGTCTGGTACGGTAGCCACCAACCACACGTGGCTGTTGAACACTTGAGGGTAGCTCGTCTGGAGTAAGAGGTGCAGCAAATAGAAAACACATCCCAGATTTCAGAGACTTGGAACAAAAAATTTTAAAATATATCTTGTTAGTAATATGGTTACATGTTGAAACAATACTGTTTTAAGTATATTGGGTTAAGTAAAAGTATCCATTTTTTCACCTATTTTTACTTTTTTAAATGTAGCTACTAGAAAATTGTAAACTACATATATGGTTCACGTATTTTCATTGGACAGGGCTGGTCTTGAACTTGTCATTTGCACATTGCAGTTAAGAGTTCTGCCATGTCTGGGGGCCGCCTGTACTGTTAACTTCTCTTGAAAATTTTCTTTTTCATCAGCTCACTATTCTATAAATTGAGTTATCATTTACACATAAGAAAACACACAGAGATGAAGTATGCAGTACGATAGATGTTGGCATTTGTAATTACCCAAGTAACCATCAGTCAGATCAAGACAGAGCATTTCCTTCACTGCAGAAGTGCTCCTTTCCTGTCAGTTCACTTTCCTAGCTTCCCTCCAGCCACTCTAGTTCACCTTTTTAATTTAAATTTATTTTTAAAATACAGTTTATATCCATGAAATCCTGGGTTTGATGTGCTGGTTATTTTTCCCCCCAAGACACATGAAAATGAGTGCATACTATTAATATAAATAAAAAATGTATTCACGTATCACCATCATGAGTAAGCCCAGGGGTATGAATATTAAACTTTAGGAAACACAGGTCTGCATTCCTGTTTCACTTCAGCCCTTCTCGCCTGCCTGCTCGTCTTTGAATACAGTGTGGACTTGCTTGCGGACGAATCCTTCCCGCTTCTTGTGTCTGCCAGCCATGCTCTCACCTGTTTCCTCATTTGTGTTCCTGGGCTGGACGGTACACACCCGTACTGTTGTTTATGGCTGTTTTCAGGGCCATCTCCCCTACTGACCAAGAAAGGGAGACCCTTGAGGGCAGGGTCATTAAATCATCTCTCTTCTTCAGCTCCTTATGTTCAGTACACGTTTGTAGAGTCGAGACAGGATAACCTGGAGCTAAGGCAAAGTCTGAGTCATCAGAAACCACCTGGAAAATGGAGGGGACTTTTTCTGGAGGGGACTTTTTCTTCTTCCCATCTGGAAAGTGCTGAACCTTTGTGTGTGGTTTTTTTTTTTTTTTTTTTTTTTTTTAGATAACAGAAGATGATAACTAGTATATTTTTCAAGTAACACATAATATTGAGGGCAGAGTCAACAAAGCAGACACCCTGTTAAGTACACAGGCGAGGTGAAGATGGGGCAAAGGGCAGATGCTCCTTGGGAAATTACAGGCCAAAAACCAGAACAGTGAAGCCCAGCTGAGATTCATAAATGGCTGGGATGGGCCTCTGCTGTTTGAAGTAGTCTAAACCAATGACTTCGTGGGCAAAAGCCCTGACTCAAGGTTTTAGATAAACTTTTGGTGACTGTGTGCATTTAAGGCCCATGAAAAACCTTTTAAGGTTCTTGTCCAGTTGTGCCCCTGACACTGCCTTTCCTGGTCCCGGGATGCTTGTCTTCTTGTTTTTCTCCTTGCTGTTAGCCCGGAAGTTCTCTGAGGGCAGGAGCTGTGCTTACTGTTTGCTGTTTCCTCAACGCATAGTATGGTAACTGATGTGTAGTAGGTAGTCTGCCAGTAGTTGTTGAATGAGTGGGTAAAAAGGCATCAGAAGCAACTTAACTTAGGTTGTCCCAGATTTACCTTCCTTTGAAACAGTTTGATAACTTCACCTTTAGTGTTACCAGGCTGATAAAAATGAAGGCATTAAAAAATTATATTACTACTGATAAATCTCATGCTTTGTTTTTATCAGCAAAGGTGCTTATTCAGACATTATACCTCTGTATTAGCGGAGAAGTGGGTCAGTTTTTTTTTTTTTTTTTTTTTTTAGGTGATGATGCATTCCGTGGAGCCATTGCCATAGGATTTTTTTTTCCCTATTGTTAAGGCTGGCATAAGAACTGAGCCCCTTATCCTGGTTATTATCCACAGGCTAGCTAGACAGGAAATTAGTGATAAACAGTGGCATTCTGAGTCCACT